TGTTCGTTGATTTTAAGGATTTTGGACTTCTTAGCCCCATAAGTTGATTCATTTTCCTTAGAATTCGTTATAAAGTGATTTTGTTAGGTTATATGTTTGTTTTCCATTTTCTTTAAATTGAGATTGTTTAAGTGCAATAAACAATTCTTGATCTATTGAAAATACGTTGTGTTTTTCTATGTGAATAGAAAAAACGTCATTGGTTTGAGAAGTTCATGGAAATCTGTGAAATGTGCTCATCATTAGGAGAAAAGGTTTATTAAAATGCATAAGGTATTGGCGGTTTGTGAATAGATTATGCATGAGAGTTAGAATGAAAAAAAATTCGCTCTTTTATAAACTTTTTCTATAGTGGAAGTATGTTTTCATGCTTGATTGGTGAGTTGGGGTTCTAAGGTATATTTCAAAATGGGCCTTTGAATTGCATGACTCCGGGCCGTGTGGAGAGTTGACAATCCTCCATATCGTGGTTAAGGAAATGAATTGACTCGGCTTTAAATTGGTTTTTTCTATTCTTAAGTGCTTAAGTTACGTAATATATTGTCTACGTGCCTATTATACGTGTAATGTTCGTTTTGTGTTCGTTCTCTTTTTAAATTTTGTTTCGGGTTCTTGGCGGTGTTTCGTGGGTTACCTTAGTTGGAGAAGTTGATTATCTTTTGAGCTTGTTTTTCCCCCATTTTATCAAAAAAACCAAAAACAAAATAAGAAAATACATAAAAACCAAAAATATTTACTTTTCATTCAACACCCCTTGTTATGTTTAAATTATAGTATAAGTTTCTAAGTTAATATATAAGTGTCTTTGTTTATATAAGTTATATTTATAAGTTTTTATATTTATTTTGTTATAAGTTTTATTATGTGTGTAGTAGTTAATTTTATTTTTTTAGTGACAATGTGTTTGCATGCTAAATTGGTTTTCAAACGTACAAACTTTCTCCGTGGGATCGACCCTTACTTGCCCTAGCTATAGTTTTTATTTGATTATATATTGGGGGTTAGTTAAGGATATTTTATAAATTTTTAATTTGTTTTGGACTGCACGACAAGTCCCCAACATGTGTCTTCTCACCAAGGCCGGGCATTTCTCTGTGGCCTTCCTCCTTCTAACAAGAAGTGGAAGGACAAATATGTGTCTATCAAATTCCTCCCGGCAGCTTTCCCTTTTGCTCAAAATGTCTGGGGGAAGAGGATGAAGCGCCAGGTCAAACCCGCGGAGACCGACGACCTGGTCACTTGGGAAGCCACCCTCCGAGCCGGGGATGCCTCCACCCGTGGTCTTTACAATGTGGGAAAGTGGAGCGTCTATCCCGGCCGGGAGACTGATCCCGAGCCAGAGATTGTCCTGGTCAAGGCGATCCCTGAAGCCGTCCCAATCCGCCGGGTGAGAGGGTCCAAAGCCCCGGTTACTGCCGCTGCCGGTCCCTCGCGCCCGGGGAAGAAGAAGAAGGAGAAAGGTTCAGCCCCACTACCCTTCTCAACTCTCACTTTATTTTTTGCAACTCTTTTAACTAACCGGTCTTTTTCTTTCGGTTTCAGTGGTGAAGTTCCAATCCAAGTTTGCCACTCCCAAGATCGTCATCGAGGAGCCCTCATCCGCCCAGCCCCTCAGCCAACCCTCTGACCAGCCGTTCTCCATGGATTAACAAACTGGCCAATCCCAACAAGACATCAACCAGCCCATCAACTCCGAGGAGCTCTACATCAACGTAGACACCATGGAGTTTGACAACTTGATGGGGGATACCGGCCATACATCAGAGGCCGGGCAAGGCGGCCAAGGCGGCCAACTGGTTGAGGGGGGCTGTGATGAAGAAGAGGCCGCCGAGGAGGCCCTTCAAAGGAAGAGGCGTAGGGCCGAAGAGGTAAACCAGCCGACAGGGTCCTCCGACGCCGGCAAAGCACGCGGTCAGCTGCGGCCGTTCGCCCTCATGGTCCGATCAGACGAGAACCTTTTCCAGGCCTTCCAGTCTGACCTGCAAGAGGTACATTCCTTACTCATTTATTTTATTGTTTTCCAAATTCAATTCCCTGAAAAATCTCCATGTCTTTAAAGCAGGTCGGCCGGATTGGCCTGAAGTACTTCACCCGGTTGGCGAAGTCCAGGGACGAGGAGAAGGCCCGGCTGGAGGCCATGATGGTAGAATGCCGAAAGGATGCCCAGGCCGCCCATGCTAAGCCGGAGAAGGCGGAGGCAAAGCTCGTGGAGCACTGTGCGGTCTACCGCCAGCTCTACGCCAAGCATGATGGACTCCTCAAGGCCGTGAAAGAGGCCGATGAGCAAGCTCAGGCAAAGATCCAACAGCTAGAAGCCGAAAACGCCTGGTCGGCTGAGGAGATTGCCCGGCTTGGGGACGAGCTGGAGAAAGAGCGGGCCAAACGTGCTTCCCTTGCAGCAGCCTGGGTGATTCAGGAACCGGAGGAGTTTGCTAGCCGGGCCATCGCTGATTGGGATGCTGCCATCCGGCTGGTCCAAGGGCTCTACAAGCATGAGCCATCAGCCAAGGTCGTTGATGAAATTGCGACCTTTGGCTTTGAAAGTGGCCAATATGATGAGCGGCGGTCGCTGTATGGCATTCTTGAGCAGCGGATCAAAGGCTTCATGCCAAAGGCCCTCTCTGCCTGAGCTGCATGACGAAGTGCCGGTCGCACCTTTCCCGGGAATCTGACCTTAGCCTTCTTTTCCTTTTGTTTCTTTTTTTTATCTTTCATATGTATTGACTGGCCTCCGGGCCTTTTTTGTAAGACTGGCCTCCGGGCACGTTTTGCAATAGTAATGAAAGTTTTTCTTCCATTCCGTGTGTTGAGTGCCTGAGTACTTTATGTATTTTATATCCTATGTCTGTTAGAGATTTTCCAACTTAAACTTTTTTAACGCGTAGATTAGTAAGTAGCAACCCGGCTGCAATTACTGAGTCTACTATACAACTTTACCCAGGTCCTTTCGAAAGATTAACTGGGAACCGGGGAGAGAATAGATTCGACTAATCTCCTCCCGGTCGGTTTATAGACCCGTGATGGCAATTGGACTTGTCCTTTCCGAAAGGATAGACTTCTGCCCGGGCGCTCATGAAGCCGACATGTTTCCACAACGGCTTACTGCCCTTGTGGAAAGGTAAGCCTTATATTTTCTTCAAACGTCTGACAAAACTAACCGGGATGCTCTCCCTTTAGTTACGCCGTTTGACTTCCGTGTTGGTACGGATGATGTGTATGATCGGTTCGACCGATCTCTCATCTTTTTTTTTAAAGATGCCCAATTCAATTGGACATCTAACCGGGCAGATTGGTGTGCGACCAATTAACGGCTATGTACAAGAACAATCTTTCTGAAAAGATCAAAGTTTTATTAATAACCGGGGACTCATTACACTTTATCTAAAAAATTTACGCAAATGGTGAGAGTTCCAATGCCGGTCAACTCGGCCACCTTCCATGGTCTCCAGCTGTTAAGTGCCCGGTCTGATGATTGCCCTTACGCAATAGGGTCCTTCCCAGTTACGTACTAGCTTGCCTCTCTCATTAAGTTTACTGGCATCCCTTCTGCGTAAGACCTCATCATGCACTTGGAAGTACCGTGGGCCCACCCGGTTGTCATGATATCTCTTTACTGACTGTTGGTAACCGGCCATCTTGACAGCTGCTATGGTCCTTCGTTCTTCCATCAGATTCAATTCAGCTAGGTGGTCGACCTCGTTCTGACCGGGCTGGTATACGGTCTCTCTAAATGTTGGAATTTTCGCTTCAACTGGTAACCGGGCTTCACATCCCATAAGTTAGCACAAAAGGAGTCTCTCCAGTTGCCCTTCTTGAAGTCACTCTGTGCGCCCAGACTGTATGAGGCAAGGCTTCCAACCACTTGTGTCCTTCTTCACCCAATCTCTTTTTTAGCCCGTCCACTATAGTCCGGTTAGCATTTTCGACTTGGCCATTTCCTTGTGGATATGCTACTGACGCCTTGCTGTGCTTCATTCCAAAACTAGCCAAATACGCAGTGAACCGGGGGTTGCGAAACCGCGGGCCGTTGTCGGTGACAATTATTTTTGGGGCTCCAAACCGGGTAACAATATTCTTCCAAACGAATTTTTCGCATTGCTGCACGGTTATGGTGGCCATTGCCTCAGCCTCAATCCATTTTGTGAAGTAATCTATTGCGACCATGATGAATTTTTTCCCGCCTTGTGCAACCGGGAAAGCCCCAATGATGTCAATCCCAAACCGGGCAAAGGGTATGACATTAGAGGTTGGTTGGTAATATGTGGCCGGTCTGCCGGGATGTTTGTAAAAAACTTGGCATGTTCTACATTTTTGGACATACCACTCACAATCCCTAACAATGGTCGGCCAGTAGTAGCCGAGCAATATTATCCTTTGAGCCAATGTACGGCACATTTGATGGGCTGCACAAACTCCCTCATGTACCTAGGCTATTACCCGCTCAGCCTCCGGGTTGGTAAGACAACGTAGGAGAGGTCCGCCAATAGCATGTTTGTATAGGTGACCGTCCAGTACCTGAAACCGAGGAGCCCGTAGGACTATTTTCCTGGCCCGTTCTTCGTCATCTGGTCTCTGACCGGTCTCCAAATACTCCATGAGATCGTACCTCCAGTCATCATCTGCTTCTATTACCCCGGTCGCTGAACTCTGGCCTGGTTGGATAACTGCGACCTCAAACCGGTCAGCACTAGGTTGGTCCAATATTTCGATTTTGGCCAACTTCGAGACATGCTCTGGGCAAGCTTGCATTAATTTGGAAAGCATGTCAGCATCAGTGTTTTCTGACCGGGGTATCCTGGTCAGACGAAACTCCTCTAACTCCCTTAGAAGTGCTCGGACCAGGTCACTATATCGAGCGAGACGTTCTTCTTTGACTTCCATCTCACCCTTGACCTGTCCAACGACCAGACTTGAATCAGAACGGATCTTCATTCTCTTTATCCCAAGTGCCCGGGCTAATCTGAGGCCACTGGCTAGTGCCTCATACTCCGCTTCATTGTTGGTAAGCTTGAAGTTAAAAACCAAGGCATGGTAGATTTTGAATCCTTCTGGAGTAGTGAAAACTATGCCGGCTCCGCATCCCTTCGATCCAGAGGCCCCATCAACGGCCATGTCCCACCACGGTTCGACCGTATGGGAAGGTCCGGCTTCAGGCTCCAGACCGGTCAGTTCAACAAGGAAGTCGGCCAGAGCTTGACCCTTGATTGCGGTCCTAGGTTTATACTCTATCTTGAACTGAGTGAGCATCATCGCCCACTTGATCAGTCGTTCCGAGGAGGTTGAATTTGGGAGGACCGGCCAAGGTGGCTGATCGGTCAGTACTTCCACCGCGTGAGCTTGGAAGTACGCGGTCAGTTTTTTGGCCGTTATGAAAAGTGCATATGCTGTTTTCTCAATGGCAGTGTACCGGCTTTCTGCCCCATTAAGTGCTTTACTCACATAGTAAATAGGCCTATGGCCGTCTTCATTTCTTATCAAAACAGAGCTTACAGCATTTTGGGAAATGCCCATATACAAGTACAAAGTCTCACCCGGTTTGGGTTTAGACAAAACTATATCAGAAACTAAGTACTCCTCCAGCTGCTAGAAAGCCTCCTCACACTCCCGGTCCCATTCAATTGTGTTGGCCTTCTTTAAGACTTTGAAGAAGGGCAGGGCTCTTTCAGCTGAGCGGGAAAGAAAACGGCTCAAAGCTGCCAACCGCCCGGTGAGTCGCTGCATGTCCTTCAGTGAACCAGGCGACCTCATCTCAGTTATGGATTTAATCTTTTCAGGATTAGGCTCAATACCACGCTTGGTTACCATGAACCCCAAAAACTTGCCGGTCTTTACAGCAAAGACGCATTTCTTGGGGTTGAGGCGCAAGTTATACTTAGCCATGATTTCAAAGCAAAGCCTCATGTCAGCCGGGTGGTTTATTGCTCCCGGGCTCTTGATCAGCATATCATCCACGTATGCTTCCATGGACTTACCAAGGAGTGGCTTGAAAAGCCGGTTAACCATCCTCTGGTAAGTAGCGCCTGAATTCTTCAGTCCAAAAGCCATCACCCGGTAGCAATAGGTCCCCTCAGGAGTTAAGAAGGAAGTATTCTCCTCGTCTTCCTTAGCCATGAAGATCTGATGGTAGCCCTTGAAAGCGTCCATAAAGCTCAGCAACTCACACTCGGCCGTCTCATCGACCATCTAATCTGGACTGGGCAGCAGGTATGAATCCATGGGGCAAGCCTTGTTCAGATCTGTGTAGTCTACGCACATACGCCACGTGTCGCCCTTTGGTGCTAGGACGACGTTTGCCAACCAGGCCGGATACTGTACCTCCCTGATGTGCCCGACCGACAACAAATCCTTCACTTCTTTCTTAACAAAGTCCTTGCGGACATTTGCCAAGTATCTTTTCTTTTGCTTTACTAGCCGGCTACCTTCCATCACTGCCAACCGGTGGCATATGACCGAGCGGTCGATGCCCGGCATATCCGCCACACTCCAAGCGAATATATCTGCGTACTCCCGAAGGACTGAGATGATTTCCTCTCGAAGTCCTCCGGGCAGGTCCCTGCCTATCCTTACCATCTTTTTCGGGAAAGCTTCCCGGAGAACAATTTGCTCTGTCTCGTCACCCGGTTCCAATTTCGACCGGTCCTCTTCCTGGGAGACCAAGGTAACCCTTTCGAAGGCCTTCGTCATCTTCTTCACAGCTTCCAAGTAACAAGACCGGGCCTTCTTTTGATCTCCTCTGACTTGTCCTATACCGCCCGGGGTATGGAACTTCATACAAAGATGGGCCATGGAAATGATTCCACGGACTTTGTTTATTCCAGGCCAGCCTAAAATGGCATTGTGAACACATTTGATGTTCACGACCACAAACCTCATCTGTTCTTGTACGACCATGTCTCCCGTGCCCAATTCGCAAGTTAGGAGAATCGACCCCTCAGCTTCAACAGAATCTCCAGTGAACCCGGACAGGGGAGTCTTCAAGGGCTCAAGCCGTGTTCGAAACAGCTTGAGCTTCTCAAATGCATCCAAGTACAAAACGTTGACACTACTGCCCGTGTCAACAAGTACCCGGGAGACATCGACTCCACCCATGTCCATGGTTATGACCAGGGGGTCATTATGATCTTCGCCGGTGGCGGGAAGGTCTCGGTCAGTAAAAGTGATTGGCTCCCGTCTGGTCTGTTTTGACCGGGGAGCTAGGGCCACCGTTTCGACGTAGAGCTCTTGCCCCCATTTCTTCCTTTGGGAAGCAGAATCCCCCCCTTCCGGTCCTCTGTAGATGACTTGTTGTTCTCCTCGGCCGGTTGTCCTTCGGGCTTGACCCATTGGTTTTTCTTTGGTTTTGCCTGAGCCAAATACTTGGGGTCGAGCTCTCCGGCCTCAATCATCTGTTTGATCACCCCCTTAACACTATTGCACTCAGCAGTGTTATGGGAATCCGTTTTGTGGAAGGAGCAATACTTCTCCGTCCATTGCTTCTCCCTGGCTGGTTTCTTTTCTGTTTTGACCGGCTTTACCTCCAAGACTTTCGTTTTCAACCTGCCGGGCAATTCGATTTCCTTTTTCAAGGAAATCTTTCCCTTGGAATGGCCTTGCTCAGCCTCCCTCTTAGACGACACCTGTGCCTCGGCGTCAGCGTAGTCCCAAGCCGTGTTGTAGGCCTCTTGGTAGGACTGGGGAGGCCTCCAGCAAAATTCTTTGTACAACTCTCCGAAACGGAGCCCGGACACCAGGAGGGACATGGCTGTTTTATCGTCCATCTCCTCCACCTTGTCAACTTCATCCTTCCATCGGGTAAGGAACTTGGTTAAATCTTCATGCTCCCGCTGCCCGACTGTACTCAAGTAGGTAAATTTTTTCCTCTTGGTACAGTTTTCTTTGAACTTTTCTTGAAACACCTCGGCCAGCTCATCGAAAGAATTGATTTCGCTAGCCGGGAGGTTGTGAAACCACTCAGCCCGACCACGGAGGGTCTAGAAGAAAAGTAGACATTTCTCGTCCCTGGAAAGGCCCATCATCCTTCCACTCTGGTGAAGGGTTTTAACATGTATTTCCGGGTCTTCCTTCCCAGAAAACTTCGGAACCTCCAACTTTGCTTTCTTTGGGAACGGGGTCTCATGAACCCGGTCAGTGAACAGGGATTCGTTTAATAAGATTTTCTTTTTCTCGTCCCGGTCTACCCGGCGTTGCAGTTTTTCTAAACGTGCTTCAACCCGGCCTACACGGTCCCGGGGTCGCTCTTCGTGCGTGCGGACTGTGTGCCTAGGATGGCTTTCCGCTTCTTCCTCCCGAGGCGCCCGGCTATGTTGGGGCTCATCGTGATGGGGTGGTTCCGTTCTCTTGGTTCGACCAGGTCGTTCGGCCCCTTTACCCAGGCGATCAAAAGCACTCACCGGGGCTGTTTCCACTCCTAGTCGCTCTTTGGCCGGCCGGTTTTGGTTTCAGCCGTTGTGCCCAAGCCTTCGGAACGCTGACCTCCTGGATCCCTCAGGCTGGACAGCCTTTCCCTTCAGCTTCTTCTGTGCTTGGGGAACATCCCAGTCCTCATCCTTGCTATGGACCGAACGCACGTCTCCGTCTGGCGTGATCTGGGCATGTTTAGTGAGTTTTGAAAATATGATATGAATTTTTAAAATTTGAAAAAAAAATGATACAAGGTTTAATCTGTATTTGGATGATTTGTATATTTGGGGATATCCAACAAACAAACCGGACCTAAGTAACTAAGTTGTTAAGACTTAATCGAAAAACGAAAAGAAGCATAAAGCATTTAATTATAAGTACTACCTACCAAATTGCAACGGTCGAGGAGAATAGGAGAGTGAGATAGGGAAAGATAAAGATCCTTCTTCTTCTTCTTCTTCTTCCAGGGTATGGTAGTGGATGGCGATTCAGAGAGGACGTCATCAATGTCCGGCGGCAAGAACTTCTTCCAGACGGCATTCGACTCCAATGCCGATTTGAAGCGTTTGGAGATGAGACAGAACGCGGCGGCGTCAGGCGGCGACGTCAGGGAAATAATTTCAGACATGCAATCCAGCGGCAACTTGGAGAAGTGGTCCATATGGCCACATCCAATACAACCAGGTAGAGACAGGCTTCTTCGGTTTTCTCCAAAGTAATTAATCGCAGATGAGAATTGAACGAAGCAAGCTAAGCACTTATGCTTCTAATAGTTGAATTAATTAAATCTTTTACATTTGGAAGCTCAACAGCTCATTTTCTTTATTGTTTGTCTGCTCTATATATCCCTCGGTATGCCGACGCTTTTAGTCATGCATGTCACTATCGGAAATTGTTCCAATCATATTTTTTCTGATCGGGAAGCGAACCGGCAATAGCAAAGATTGTCTTTGAAGAGGTTGTTAGGTTATGGAGCCTGATGCTTAATGATTAAGTTTGCTTAATGGTTAAGTTTACTTAATGGCAAAGTTTACTTAATGGCTAAGCTTTCTTAATGGTTAAGTTTACTTAATGGCTAAGTTTGCTTAATGACTAAGTTTTCTTAATGGTTAAGTAAATAGAGGTTGTAATGCCTATATATATTCTCCTTTGTAGCTAATTTTTGTAGAGAGGCAAGAGTCAAATTCTCTGTAATTGTATCTGCCTGAAATCATCAATAAACACATCTAGCCGCCGTGGAAGTTTACTCACGGGGTGTTACCACGTTATTTCACGTGTTTCACTTTCTCTCTACTTTTACTCTCTCGTTTTTTCTTCACCTTCTTCATCGGATTTCTGTGAGTGTTCTTGATTTGATCCTAACA